GGTACCGAACAGACGCCTCTCTGGCTGCAACGCGCGCTCCCGACACAGGGGGAACAGATTTTCACGGGGAAACAGAATTTCGCACAAGACCGGTTCTTCCGTCTGTTCGGTACCATTTAAAAACTCCAAGGACCGACCGCAGGAAAAACAAAACCGCGTTAAACTGCTCACATGAGTGCCGCAGAACGGGCAAAACGCAACTCGATTCGCTTCCATCTTGGGTCATCATGAACGCTCCGGTTATCACTTCCGGGTAAGCTTCGAAGACAGTCCCTCCCTTTCCGTAAGATTTTGTCAGTTGTAAATTTGTTTTCTGAAATGTAAATTTGTTTTATGATTTGTAAAAGTGTTTCGTTTGTTGTAAATTTGTTTTCTGAAATTTAAATTTGTTTCGAGATTTGTAAAAGTGTTTCGTTTGTTGTAAATTTGTTTTCTGAAATTTAAATTTGTTTCGAGATTTGTAAAAGTGTTTCAGATTTTGTATTGTTGGTTTGCACTTCCCGGGGACCGTAGTTTTATGTGTTGTCTTCTAATTTCAGAGGGCCCCCTGCCCGTTTTTGCCTAGGGCCTCAAATCTACTAAATCCGCCCCTGTTTGGTTGGTCTGGAGTCTCACTCTTTCCCTGTTTTTGTCATTCTTTTCTTTTCTGTGGCCGCATCCTTGTCAGTTTTGACTAGAACCAAATATTGTGAGGCACCAGTGAGTTTTATCAGTCAAACATGCTGCATAAATAAAGGCTCCTCTGCTCCTAATGAATGGAACACGAAGGCTTCAGTAGGATAGGGGCGGGGTTTGTGGAGGTGAGTCATTCCCATCTCTGCTGTGATTGGTCCGCTGTGCTGCTAATCACTCTTACATTCTTCCTGTGCAGGTGCAACGCTGGGCTCTGAACTAGCCGCTGCGGGGAAGTTAACGGGAAAAATCACGCATTTCATGGTAAACCATCCACGCATCTTTCGCAGCGGGACCGTTTTCATCATAACCGCGGGAACAGACGGAACGGAGGTTCTTTATCCAACCCGAGGTCAGTGACTTAGGGAGCTATTATTAACCTTCATTTGACATAGCTGGGATGCTTAGCTAGCTGTTTAAACACATTTAAATATTGCTGACTTATAGCTGGGTTGAATTAGCCTGTAAGGATTATTAGCTTCTCCCCTGTTTTATTTTAAATGGTTCATCGCTTTGTGTTTTTTTTTACATAAGCAGTTAAGCTTTACGGTGGTAAATAACGTCTAACATTAAACATGGAGCCTTAAAAAGGGGTTTTTGTTGAGCTAACTTTGAGAGTTCAGCTACATAATTTAAGCTAGCTCTGTTATCAGATAACTGTGGAATAGAAGCCGGTTTATTTGAGAGCAAATAGGCTCAGAAACAATCGTCATGATAACAGGAATGAATAAATGACACCATCTGTTATTCTTTTATTGAAAGTGAGGCATAATATTATTAGCGACATGGCCTGTCCGGCTCAGGCTCCCTGCCTTCCCTGAACGGGAGCCGATAGGATAGTCTGTTTAGTCGATGCTTAGTCTGTTAAGCCCTTCTACTTCCGCCCTCTGATCCTCCATGAGGTGAAGGTGTGTCTGACTGATGTGGAGGATGTTCAGGCTCTCCTCAAGCTAGGGCTGCCACCTGCTAACCTTTAAGAAGGGGCATCCAACCCCCCCTGACAGGTGGGGTTAGTATGTTTGCTAATAATAACAATAATTGAACTTTATTGATCTAACATTGGAGAAATTTACCTCTGCATTTAAAGTAGTTGGGAAATCATATCTAAATGTCAAATCATCAGAGGTGTCAAGTATGAAGTACAAATACTTTTTTACTGTACTTAAGTACA